CCTGACTTCTGGTTTGACTGGGTCAGCACACTTCGATTGTAGAAGCGTCACTGATTAAGGCACTGTCAAACTTCGAATGCCTGTGACATCTTTAGTGGTGAACCCAACGTGATCGGGCACATTGATTTGGAATCTGCGACTGCTTTCCTTGTTGGAACATCATATCGATTTTTAAATTACAATTCTACATTTTGTGATACTTTTCCACATTATTTGTATGGCGTAACATACTCTTAAATTATCGGCAAAGGTATAGACAAATGAACGCCACCGAAACTGTGAAATTCTTATACTTGGGGATTATCACAGTGTAAAAGTGCAGGGCAAAATGATCCTCTATCCAGTCTGAATGGTTCGAGAAAGTCTGACAAAAATAATAGGTATGCTATAGAAATGCTCGTCGCCTACTATAGAACATGGTGAAACTCAAAGACGTTGCGGATGCAGAAAACTTTGGTGTCGATACCATCTCTAAAACATGGCTAACGTCAGAAGTGTATGATCGGGAATTTCAATTGCTTTGTTTCCAGTTTTGGGCCGACAGACTAAACTATAGTAGTGTTATGTTTATCCTCTATATGAAAAGCAATCTAACCAAACGAGCCGCCAAGATGAACACGACCCTGAACATGTGAACTAGACTGCTGACTACCAAAACGCAAAGTAAAAAACATTGAATCTGGTCGTAGTGTACCACAAAGAACTATGATCGGTACAACGTAATAATGACTCTTAGCAACTAAAGCAATAAAAAACCAGCCGGAACAGATGAACTATACACTAGAATAATGGTATGAATTGAACAATAAAGTGCCTCCCCACTGTCTACGAATTCAGCATGTCACTAGACCGAGATGAACTAATTTGGAACTATTCAGATGCACTGGTTACTCCATTTCACAAAACAAGATCAAGAAAAATTCCATAAAACTACAGACATGACAGACACATAATTGTCGTAATTAAAATACTGTACAGAATGACTAATGAGGCCATACTGACATTCACAGAAAGTAACAACAAGTGCCGACCATCCCAAAAAGTGGATCGAAGATTGTCTTGGTAGGTCCTAGACATATTTAGATACTTACCTCACCTGTTACTCTATGGGGAAGAGCGATGTCCAGCCACCAGTATTATCCATTGAACTCTGTCCTGGTCAATCCCTTCCAGTTGTTTACAGTTGTTATTCATGTTTTCCATGTCTGCTGCCAATCCCAAGCTGAGTGTGTTTTTGGCCTTCCTGTTTTCCGTTCCCCTTCAGGATTCCAAGTTAACGCTCACCTCGTGATTCAGTTTTATGATTTCCTCAATGTATGTCATACCCACTTCCAGAGTCGTTTCCTAATTTCCACTTCATCTGGAAGCTGATTTCTTCTCTCCCACAGTAGGTCGTTGCTGATGGCACACAACCAACGGTCGTTGAGTATCTTGCGTAGACGATTGTTTATATATACCTGTACCGTTTTGATGACGGTTGTAGTTGTTATATCGTGGCGAAGACATAAGTACGGGTAACTCTCAGGACTTATTAATGGACGATTATTCTATATATATTCCTATTGTATAACTATCCAGTAACTAGATTATGTACATCTATATCCATCTTATTATAAGGTTCATTTTGACCTATGAATTATTATTATACGATTTACTGTTCGTAAATTATATTTAGTTTATTGATTACTGTCTTCCACGCTCACAGCCATATTTGACTTGGTGTTGTACAAATATTATTTTCTATTTTATGGTGTGATGCGGTCAGTCTGTCTATCTGGTATATCAACCGAGTATGCTTGAAATAAATGATTCGCAAAACTGAAGCTGCAATTGGTGTTCTGGACTCAATTGGAAGGTTTAGGCGGACAGATGACCAATAAGGACGCTAGACTACTCGTACTGGTCGAACTTCATTGATTATCACAGTGTTAAGGTCGGAAAAGTCGTATTTCCATTGGTGGATAATTCACGCGATAGAAGCTGGACATAAAATCGATAACGAATTGTCACACGGTCATTGTTTATTTTGCAAAGTCACAAAAGTAGTATTTATCGAAGTTTCAACTCTGTACAGTAGAAATGACCGACTTGACCGTCGTATTAAAGATTGTGACTTTGATGTTGTCTGACAATCGTTTTGAGTTCCTTATGTTGTTCAATTGTAGAAATGCTGCCCTTACTTCGCCAATCCTCTCATGTATGTCTGTATCAGATCCTCCTTTTTCATCGATGATGTTTTCCAGATAGATACTTGAAAGTGTCCACCTGTTCCAGAGTTTCTCCACCAAGTGTGATTGGGTTGGTGCTCTACATGTTGTGTTTGAGGATCTTGCCTTTTCCATTGTGTATGTTGAGGCCTACTGCTGCAGAGACTGCAGTTACACTGTTGGTCTTGACCTGTATATGTTGGTGTGAATGAGATAGAAGAGCTAGGTCATCTGCGAAGTTCAAGTCGTCTAATTGATTCCGAGTTGTCCATTGTATTCCGTGTTTCTCCTTGGGATATGGAGGCCTTCATAATCTAGTCAACCATCAGAGAAAAGGAGAAAGTGGAAGTGTAAGTAGCGTTGTTCAACTCCGGTCCTCACTTAGCATGCATATGCCGTAGACATGAAGTGAGCATAAATGCTGAATGCTGCTCTTGAGAACCACTAGTTATTGAAATATCACAAAATTCTGTACAAGGTCCTTTAATTTTTATACTTTGTACAGACGATCTCACGCATGTGAGCAGATCCTTGATCCCACTTCAGGCTGATGATGTAAAAATTCTTCTTCGTGACGCCAATGCGGTAGTTTTTTCCATGGTGATGTTTTTAACACGCTTTCATTTAAGGATCTGACCATCAATTCAATCAGAGGTCAGGAATGAAGTTTTAGTTTGGATAGGAAAAGAGGCTTGATGGCCTGTGTTAGTCTTGGCGATGATGGTCTCTCAGTTGATCCAACTTTCTTTTGAAAGAGTCGACGGATGGAGCCTCAACCACGTGCTGAGGTAATGAATTCCACTCGTTGATTATTCGATGGGAAAGTCGATAGTCAGCTGACAAGTAATTCGTGCTGGGCTTGTGAACCTTTTTGGAGTGTCCTCGTTTCTGTTTTGGAAGACAAGAAAAATGAGGGCATATTAGGTGCAAATTTATCTCTAAGCAATTTGAAAACTGTAATCAAGTCGCCTCTGATTTTTCGATATGATAGCGGGAATATGTTTAGCTTGGTCAGTCTAGTATTATACGAGAGCTTGGCTATTCCGGAAATCAGCCTAGTTGCTGTTCTCTGAACCCTTTCCAAGATCTCACTGTCTTTTTCAGGCAGGGGTTAGCTGCTTGTATACACTACTCAAGTTCAGGGCGTACGAACACTGTATACAAAGTCAAAAACGTTTTAGCGTCAAGATGCCTAAAAGCCCTACGTATGGACCATAAAATCCTAAAACCTTTGGCGGCTATTACACGGCAGTGTGCAGTAGTCTTCAAGTCTTGACTAACGATGACTCATGAGTCATTATGTGTCTGGACAATAGGTAGCTCATCGCGTATTTATCTGTACCTTGATGGCCAATATGCATCACAATACACTTGGAAGTGTTTATCGGCAATTGCCAGGTTTGGGACCATTCAGATAATCTCTCCAGGTCATTTTGAAGTTCTAAGCTATCGCCCTTGCTATGTATCGCTCTCCATATCTTGACATCATCAGCATAGAGTAAGACCGATGACGATAGTAGACGAGGAAGGTCATTGACATACAAGAGGAATAACACTGGCTCCAAAACTGTACCCTGGGGGACTACACTAAGCATAGTTTCCCAGCTAGACAACTTGGAGTTCACCCATACTCTTTGTTGGCGCCCAACTACGAAGTCTTTCATCCACATTAATAAATTGTCTCTAACCCCGACATTTCTTAGTTTATATAACAGCCGGTTGTACGGAACCTTGTCAAGAGCTTTGCTGAAATCGATGTACGCTACGTCAACAGGTAACTTTTGGACCTTAAGAGTGCACCAGATTTCACGAGTGACTGATAAGTTAGTGAGACAAGAGTAACCTATTCTGAAACCATGCTGCTTCTCCGAAAGGATCCGGTTTTCATCGAGGTACTCGAACAGCTCCTTCCGAATAATCTTTTCTAAGATTTTAACAACCACGCTAGTTGGGCTAATGGGTCGGTAATTCTCAGGTTTATGTTTCATACCCGTTTTGAAGACAGGATTTACTATAGCGTTCTTTCAGTCTTTCGGTAAACGACTTTGGGTTACGGATAGATTTAAAACACATACTTAAGGAGTTGAAGATGATCGACGCGTTGAGAAACAAATATTCCAGGCTGATTAGTTGTTTTCAGAGATATAGAGTATGGCATACACAATGCTGATCCGATAATGATACATTTCCGAGTGCCTACAGCTTCAAAGTCGAAGGACATTTTATTTTGAGGTTTTGCTTGTCGCTTCAAAATAATCTCAAAACTTATTTTCCATTCCTATTTTATCGATGTCACAACAAAGGATTTCCGTAAGCAGTTACTAAATACTCAGATAGTGTGCCTTTTCTGTCCACTAAAATTTAAAAGTTTATCAATTTCAATAGTAATAGCTATATTTCAGTGAATAAATTTGCAAAAAAGTGAAAGAGACCAGGAATCCTGAAATCTCTGATTCTTAGAAGGAGAGTTTTCTGTTTCAATCTTTCAGCCAGTAATAACCTTCAGACATCTAATTTGAGTATTTTCAAGTTCGTGTTGGGGTTCGATTGCATTTAGTTGCTATTGCGAAGACAGCTTCTTATATATCCTGGCTTGTTAAGCACACCATAAATCTTAATACTTTATTCTCAAACTGTCAGTACAACAGATCTGTTCATTTTCAAACTTAAACCCTACGTTTCACGGAGCTTTATTTCACTCATGCTATCCACCAGTTGTATATTATAGAGCAACAACTTTCATTTCCACTTTTATCTCCTATTTTATGTTTAGTCTTCTGGTTAGTACCAGTGATGCGAGTAAAGAACCTTCCTGTTTACTTATCGTCTAATAACAGACACTCGAGAAGCTTCTTTTACCATCCAAACTTAGACATAAAAGTTGTCAGCAAAAACAGTAAGTTGACCAAAAGGAGAACATTGTCCGATGAACAAAGGGAAATACTTAAGTTTTACCCGAACTTCATATCTCTTCTTCCCAACACCAATGTCTCAGATTACCTTGTCCAGACGATAAACTTGCCAACAATAGGTCTGTTATCAGCTGTTGTTGACCAATGTCAAAAGATAACTGTATTTTTTAACAACGACTCTCTTCTCTTTCTTATACACGAAGCTGATGTGAAGGAATACATAATTCCGGATGCAAGTTCAGTTGTTCCTCTACTTTATGCTGCATCTTCCTACTTTCTTCAATGTCTTTATCGTGTAGAAATGAACTCAATAACTCTGGATGTTTATTTGAAAGATCATTTCATCTCTGAAAGTTTCGACTTTTCATCTAAACCCATTCCAGTTCAACAGTATGAAAAGCTTTATGACTTCCTAACATTGTTACAAATGGAAGATTTTCATCTGCCCCTATCTTGCAAATCATTTGTTTACGAACGTCACTGTGAAACTCAACTTGAGTTTGTGACAATGCTTAAGAAGCTCTTTAAGATCGCCCAAGATTATCATATTGAAGCAAGGATTACTTGGGATTCTTCCGCATTTTCCCCACAACACAAAAACTTGCTCACACTCTTGCGCCCTTATCAATGTGATGCTGTCAAGTGGATGGTTTATCAGGAATGTAATGGAATATCACTGGGAGATCGTGAATTGTTGGAGAAAATGTTTCTGCCTATCAAATTACTAAATGACAACGAAATGCTTTATTTCTCCGTATACTCCGGATCGTAAGTCTTATTTTCTCGACTTTTGCCCGTTACCAAATGTTCTTGAACTGAACTGACATAACCAAGCATAAATAAAGACACCGGCTGTTAAATAATGTTTCGTAAGTTTGGGTCATATCAGATTCCCGAATCCAGAGACTATAAGAACTTATCATATATGGTTAATTCGAAACTTCTTGCTTTGTAAATAACCTATCCATTTTAGGTTGTGTCAAACTAGTCCTCAACTTAAAACATTACTTCTTTGAAATCAGTCCTTAACCCATTAGACGTTGCACTATAACCTTGATTATCTTAATGAATGCCTGTAAGATATAGTAAATTGTTTTGTTCATTTCGTCCACAAATAGACCAAACAACTAATTTTTGAAACCTGAAGTATCCAAATAATGTAACATGCGAAAAGAATTCCACTGCTTTATAACTATTATAAATACAAAGCTTGCCAAAAATGACTTAATTAAAACAACTGGTGAGCTTTCTCTAGTTGTCTTCTGAGTTAACTAAATAAAGGTAACTTTCTGATCTCCCGTTGTTTTTCTTAGAGTTTTGTTTTGTGTAGTGGTAATGTTAACGGATACCCACACTCAGCTCAAGGAGTTTCTTACCAATCCATTCGCTCTAAAATAATTAGGCAAAAAATATTTTTCTATTTACCACCAGCTTCTTCAGTTATTTAAATATTAAAGCTTGTCTTTGATCTATTCATGTCTGAAAATGTGTGATACAATAATGTACCAAGAAATTCAATACACCATAATATATCCAGGGTCCTTTATACTATCTGAAAGATTAAGGCAAAGCAGGTCGTTTTTCAAAGTGTGGTGTTTAGTTCTAATGCACAAAATAATAAGAAAACATGAAATGTATCCTCGCAGTAGTTGGTTAGTGAAGTAAAAATGTGAGTTCAATTTTAATGTTCATTTACTATCTTTACGAATGCTTATCGCAGTTAACATGCCAGTGTTTTGACACCTAACCACTTATAATCTAAGGCTTAAAAAAATTTCAATTCGTTTTCCTATATTGAAATTACTGAGTTTATTCATTGACTTTTGTATATTCATGCAAAAATTGGTCTGTTATATTTTTAAAACTTTATTGTGGTGCACAACTGTCTTATTACTGATAAGGCTTGTTTCCTACCAGGTTCACCAAATACTTGCCAGTAATTGAATACCCGCGTACTGGGGGAATTTTGGCGGACGAAATGGGCCTTGGTAAGACATTGGAAGTCATTTCTCTAGTTCTCACTCACCCGTTAAGTGATTGGAAGGAAATAGGTGGTCAACTACGAACTATGGAGGACAAACCGCTTAGAACGAAATGCTTACCTTCTTCAAAAAACGATTCTGACATTTTTAAGAAACATTGTGACAGTTACATCCTTTGCACTTGCGGCGGTGTCGAGGAGACTGAGAAATTTGACGTAGTTCACTGTTCTCTCTGTGACGGTCCAGGTCAACATGCATCATGCGTTCAATATAACCCCTCAATATACACCAGCCGTCTTCCAGTCAAGGAAGGATATATATGTCCACAGTGCTGGACTAAGGCAAGTTTTCTGTGACTGTTTATTAGTTAACTTGAAAGAATTAGTAATCACACATTATTTCGTGTTGGCCTGATCTTACACTTTCGAAAATAACCGAAACCCTATCTTCGTAGGTATCAACTGTATATTGTTTTAGTCATTTTTCCCATCAGTTGACACATTAGACATCTGTCTAATGATTTGGTTTGTAATGAGATGTATGTAAGAATATCTTGGGGACAAGTTATAAAATTGCAATATACTAATGGGTTAAGGTTTATTTCATTTGTCAGAGATGTTACGGTGGTTATAAAATAGTTTGAAGACTTATGTATATACCATATATTTCTAAGATCCTTTATGAATAATTATTTAGGGTGTTTGAAAATTGCTAATTCCCTGTCTTACTGAATGTCTAATTTTTTTAATCAGATTGGCGTGTTTTAAGACAGATTAGGGTTATCATAACCACTGTTTTTGCGCCAAACAACTCGAATTTTATATTAGAGTATTTAAGGATACGTTTAGATTTCAACCATAGCTTTAACGACTAAAGATTAACAAGTTCTAAGTTCAGTTTGTGTTTGTGCAAACGATCGGCTTGTTATTTGAGTTTAGTTCTCTTCACAGTCATAATTAACTCTTATTACGAATAATTTCCCACCAAATCCATGTATTGTGATCATGATCAGTCAGCATTTAAATTAGGGGTTATAACAGGTTGAAATAAGCAAATGGTCGAAATGGAATTTAGACGAGCTCTTTTTATTTTTCTTAAAAAGCCTAAGAGAATACAGTTTATTCTCCATCTAAGTTATTTAGTTGGTTGTTTTAAATATTGTTTTTCATGGGCTTTATTATTATTGTTATTAGTACGTCGTGTTTAAATAATCTTCATCTTGTTGATTATTTAGACGCGTATCTATTCAAAAGCTACGCTAATTATTTCACCTGACCACATTTGGCAACAATGGAAAGAAGAATTGCAAAATCATGTTATGCCTGATGTATTACAGGTTTTGGTACGTTTATAAATCTTCATATCTTGGGTAAAATTCCCTTTTCTTGTGCATCTTAAAGTTGTTTAATATATCGTAATAATAATATTTTGATTACCGTCTATTGTAGCGTTTGTTACTAAGTGTTTCTATTAAGTATAGTGTATTGCCTTGATGACTAGTGGACTATATTGTGTTAAGGAGGCTCTAGCTAACTTATTCCAAAAATAGCTATTTGACCTGTTCAAGTTCACTCCCACATTTTTCCAAATTATATATATATATATATATATATATATATATATATATTAAAATGTCCACTGCTGAATGGCGAACTGTAAAACGTCATTTCATTTTAGTGTGCCATTTGTACGTCATTTTCCGACGTCTAGCCACTCCTACAAAACAGTCCACTTCTGACAGATTCGTAAACATAATCCTTTCCAAAAAATATATTTTTAAGTACCGAATGAATACAACATCATCTGAATGCGCGTGTTTGACTACAGTAATGTGAATGGCAGTATTAAAATGAGATAATTAACCATTCATATCTTTTGTAAAGTTACTCTCGTCTCTCATGGTTTTGCAACAATTATTATTTATCAACCCTCAACTGATATTAGTTAACAGTAATTAGCCCATCGGATTGTTGTCAATTATTTAAAAAAATTATGTTACATAATACTTGGCATGTTTAGAAACTTTTATTAGCATCCTAATTATCTGGCTTTTAGATTTATGCTGGTATGGAGGCCCCTGTAACATCCGTCGAGTTTGGCACTCGTGCCTCTGTCAAAGAACAAGGAAATAACAATCCTTTTGCTTCTCGTACTCATGTTCCTACAAAAGTTGTTTCAGAAAACAAAGTTAGTGAAGAGACAATCCTTCCTGGTTTCGTTCAGCCTCCTCAATTAGCTTGTGCTGATATCGTGCTTACTTCTTATTCTGTAGTACAACGTGAACTTGATTGGGCTGAGGTTGTTGCGGATCGTCAAGCTGGCCTTGCAAACAGACCAAAGTTACGATTGGCTCAGCGGTATATATGTCGTCCTAGCCCACTTACTTGTGTCAGATGGTGGCGGGTATTGATTTTTATAAATTTGTATGTTATTATGAGCAATAATCTCAACTCCTTTCTTTATCTGTGCTTATTTTCTTTAAACTTTTGAGATTTTCATTTCCAACGAAATTAGTGCTTTTCGTATTCTTTCTAAACTAAAAACCAGTGCTTTTTAGTTTAGTAAATATACTACGAGTGCCTTTCTACCTTGAATTCAGTTTGTAGGATGGGTACATATTAAGCGAACACATCTGATCTCACGCTTCATGAACCGAGGTATTCTACTATTCGAAAGTAGTTTCTAAGTTTTAAGTTGGATATACAAACACAAAGTGTTAACTAATTTTTTAATCTTACTTATCTGCTTCGGTTTGGTCGTCCGGGTAGTATCCCAGCTCTCACACAAATTATTTGATTTGTGTGGCGCTTATATATTTGGTGCCTTCTTGTACCAATCTGTCTAAATAAGTAAATAGCCTCCGTTTGAGAAATTGTTTTCCAGAATTCCGACAACACTGTCCGCATCCAGCTGCTTCGGCTGACAATATCATAAACAGTTGTCCAACTTACATATGTTATAAATGCAGTTGTCCATAGTTTTTTCTATCACTATAAAGACCTACCAAACAAAAATCTCAATATCATAGTGTACAAAATTGAGTAAATTATGTAGATTTTGATGCGACTTTCGCTAATCGTAATCTCATCTTGTATATTTTTAACCCACTTCACACTGTAGATTTGTTTAGATGAAGCACAGATGGTGGAGCGTGTCACATCTAGAACTGCTCGTATGTTATCACAAGTTACTGCTGTTAACAGATGGTGTGTTACTGGTACGCCAGCTGAGAAAAGTATTGATGGTACGTTTTAATCAGTTTGGTGATGAACGTTTTGGAGTGTTTTTTATATGATTAGTTCATCTACACATTATTTTGTTAGTTTACTTCTCCCTGTTGTGAGGTGAGTTTAGATCAGGAGAGGACATTTTGGTTTAAGTCATGTGAAAAACATCAACATTGATCTCCTTGACCGAAACATTCAAAGAATGTGTTTGAAACTAAATTCCTTTAGTATAGTTGAATCTTTTTCTTTGTTCGAACGAAATTTTAGTTGTGCGCAATTTCTTTCTTATTCGGAATGATGTTTACGGAAATACGTTTAATTTACGGATAATTTTCCTCATGAGATGAGATTGACAGGCGATTTACTAATAAGGAAAGAAGACTGGATAGCTGTTTCGCCCAGGACTGGCCTACGTCAACACCCGAACTAAGGATAGGGGGTGAAGTAGTCGAACGCCTCGACAATTTCACTTATCTTGGAAGTCTGATCAGCCCTAATGGGTTGGTGTCTGACGAAATCTCAGCACGGATTCGAAAAGCTCGTTTGGCTTTTGCCAACTTACGTCACCTATGGCGAAGACGAGATATCCGTCTATCAATTAAAGGACGAGTAGACTGCGCAGCAGTTCGCTCTGTTCTACTTTACGGCTGTGAAACATGGCCATTAAGAGTAGAAGATACTCGTAGGTTACTAGTATTTGACCACAGATGCCTTAGAAATATTGCTCGCATCTGCTGGGATAACCGGGTAAGTAATAGTGAGGTCAGACGCAGGGTATTAGGGAACGATGGTAAATCAGTTGATGAGGTGATGAATCTTCATCGACTGAGATGGTTGGGCCATGTGTTACGTATGCCTGAACACCGATTACCACGACGCGCTATGATGACTAGTGTTGGGGATGGTTGGAAGAGTTAGGGGCGGCCAAACCAAAACATGGCATCAGTGTTTGAAGTCACTTACTTCTAGTCTGAGCCATGTTGGCAGATGCAGATTACCTGGCTGGGGTCCGCGTGACTATCGTAACCAATGGTTGGAGACTCTAGGTGACATGGCTCAGATTCGATCACAATGGCGTAGGTGTATACACTCTTTATCTTCCCTTAAACCTTGAGACTAAAATTGCTTCATATCTCTCTTCCTTCGTGTACTATATCCTTATATACAACCTATAATTTATATACTACTACCACCACTAAATTAATTACTTCTATGAATCAAGTGTTCATCTTGTTGTGCTAACAAGGTATGGCAACTTGGACCGATGCATAAATGTGCCTGGTCCTACGTTGTAGCTGACTGACTAACTGTTTCGCCCCTGTACGCGCATGAGTGTTACGCACCAGTGACTTCGTGTATGATTGAACCTTTAAGACTTGTTGAGAATTTGATATCCTTCAAGTAATAAGTTCTAACTCGACAATTAATTTCTTACTTACTTACTTACTTACTTACTTACTTACTTACTTACTTACTTACTTACTTACTTACTTACTTACTTACTTACTTACTTACTTACTTACTTACTTACTTACTTACTTACTTACTTACTTACTTACTTACTTACTTACTTACTTACTTACTTACTTACTTACTTACTTACTTACTTACTTACTTACTTACTTACTTACTTACTTACTTACTTACTTACTTACTTACTTACTTACTTACTTACTTACTTACTTACTTACTTACTTACTTACTTACTTACTTACTTACTTACTTACTTACTTACTTACTTACTTACTTACTTACTTACTTACTTACTTACTTACTTACTTACTTACTTACTTACTTACTTACTTACTTACTTACTTACTTACTTACTTACTTACTTACTTACTTACTTACTTACTTACTTACTTACTTACTTACTTACTTACTTACTTACTTACTTACTTACTTACTTACTTACTTACTTACTTACTTACTTACTTACTTACTTACTTACTTACTTACTTACTTACTTACTTACTTACTTACTTACTTACTTACTTACTTACTTTCGCCTGTTACTCCCAATGGAGCGTAGGCCGCCGACCAGCATTCTCCAACCCACTCTATCCTGGGCCTTCTTTTCTAGTTCTATCCAACTTTTGTTCATTCTTCTCATGTCTGTCTCAGTTTCTCGGCGTAATGTGTTCTTTGGTCTTCCTCTTCTTCTTTGACCTTCAGGATTCCATGTGAGGACTTGTCTTGTGACACAGTTGGGTGATTTCCTCAAAGTGTGCTCAATCCCCTTCCAGCGCTTCTTCCCGATTTCTTCCTCTGCTGGAATCTGGTTTATTGTCTTCCACAGTAACTTGTTGCTGATAGTGTCTGGCCATCAGATCCGAAGTATCTTGCGTAGACAGCTGTTGATAAACACTTGTATCTTCTGGATAATGGCTTTCGTAGTTCTCCACGTCTCCGCCCCATACAGTAGAACTGTCTTGACATTTGTATTAAAAATTCTAACCTTGGTGTTTGTTGACAATTGTTTTGAGCTTCAGATGTTCTTCAGTTGCAGATATACTGCTCTTGCTTTGCCGACCCTTGCCCTCACATCTGCATCTGATCTACCGTGTTCATCAATGATGCTGCCCAGATATGTAAAGGTTTCCACATCCTCCAAAGCTTCTCCGTCAAGTGTAATTTGATTGGTGCATATTGTATTGATTCGGAGAGTCTTGCTTTTCCCTTTGTTTATATTGAGGCCTACTGCTGCTGAGGCTGCTGCTACACTGGTCGTTTTCTCCTGCATTTGTTGTTGCGCTTGTGATAGAGGAGCCAGATCATCTGAGAAGTCTAGATCGTCCAGCTGCATCCTACCTGTCCACTGTATCCCGTGCTTTCCTCCAGTTGTTGACGTCTTCATAATCCAGTCGATCACCAGGAGAAAGAGAAAGGGTGAGAGTAAGCAACCTTGCCTAACACCGGTCTTTACTTGAAACGAGTCGGTGAGTTGTCCTCCGTGGACGATTTGGCAGTTTAGTCCATCATAGGAGTTCCGTTTGATATTGACTATCTTCTCAGGCACGCCGTAGTGTCGAAGAAGCTTCCATAGTGTCGTCCTGTCCACGCTATCAAATGCCTTCTCGTAGTCGATGAAGTTGATGTAGAGTGATGAATTCCATTCGATTGATTGTTCCACAATGATCCGCAGAGTTGCGATTTGATCTGTGCACGATCTATCCTTACGAAATCCAGCTTGTTGATCTCGAAGTTGGGCGTCCACTGAATCCTTCATCTTGTTTAACAATACTCGGTTGAAGACTTTTCCTGGTATTGAGAGAAGAGTGATGCCCCTGTAGTTGTCGCAATTGCTCAGATCACCTTTCTTTGGTATCTTGATGAGAAGTCCTTTTTTCCAGTTTATTGGTACTTGTTCTTCGTCCCAAATCTTACTGAAGAGGATATGGAGTATCTTGGCAGTTGCTGTTACATTTGCTTTCAGTGCCTCTGCCGGGATGTTGTCTGGTCCCGCTGCTTTGCCGATCTTGACTTGTCTAATGGCCATGCTGATCTCCTCAATTGTTGGTGGGCCAACATCGATTGGGAGGTCTGTGGGTGCTGCTTCGATTTTGGGTGGGTTCAGTGGAGTTGGTCGATTCAAGAGTTCTTTGAAGTGTTCTACCCACCTGTTTCGTTGTTCTTCAATGTCGATGATTACTTTGCCTTCCTTGCTTTTCACTGGTCTTTCTGGCTTACGGTAATTTCCAGCAAGTTTCTTTGTTGTATCATACAGTTGTCTCATGTTTCCCTCTCTTGCAGCCTTTTCCGCTGTCATTGCTAAATCTTCCACATATTTACGTTTGTCGGTTCTGATGCTCCTCTTCACTTGCTTGTTTGCCTCTGTGTATCCGGATTGTGCCTTGGCTTTTTCTGCTCTTGTTTGGCTGATATTGATTGCTGCCTTCTTGTTCCTTCTTTCTTCAATTTTATCCAGTGTACCAACAGTGATCCATTCCCTGTGATGGTGCTTCTTTTGGCCCAGAACCTCCTGACATGTTGTAACGATTGCCTCTTTGATACCTTTCCAGTTGCTCTCCATGGTAGTTCCCTCTCCATTGAGTAGATCATGAAAGGCCTGGAACCTGTTGCTGAGGGCTATGTTGAATTTGTTGAGTTTGTCAGCATCTCGAAGAAAGGCCGTATTAAACTTTTGTGATGTTGTCCGCGCCGGTGTCCACTGCTTCTTAAGTTTTAGTTTCATCTTGGCGACCAGCAAATAATGATCGAATGCTATATCAGCTCCTCTTCTGGTTCTCACATCCTCCATCGTCCTCCTGAACTTTTTGTCGATGCAGATATGGGCGATTTGATTCTGTGTAGTGTGATCCGGTGAAATCCAAGTGGCTTTGTGTATGTTTTTGTGTGAGAATATGGTGCCACCTATGACCAGTTTATTGAAGGCACATAGGTTTGCAAATCTCTCACCATTTTCGTTCCTTTCTCCCAGTCCATGTCGTCCCATGACGTCTTCGTATCCAGTGTTGTCCATTCCAACCTTACCATTGAGATCTCCCATCAGAATTGTCAGGTCCTTGGTTGGGCACTTCTTGAAGATCGACTGCAGTCTATCATAGAATTGGTCTTTAGTGTCTTCATCGTGGTCGTTGGTAGGCGCATAGCATTGAATGACGTTCATTGTAATGCCCTCTCTCTTTGTTTTGAAGGAGGCTTTGATGATCCTTGGTCCATGAGATTCCCATCCTATAAGTGCATTTTGTGCTTTTCTGGACAACATCAATGCAACTCCTTGTGTATGTGGGGCATTTTCTTCTTCATGACCGGAGTATAACAGAAGTTCCCCTGAAGATAGTTGTTGTTGTCCAACCTGTGTCCAATGTGTTTCACTGATTCCAAGCACCTCCAGGTTGTATTTTCTCATTTCTGCAGTAATTTGGAAGACTCTTCCGGTCTCCCACATTGTCCGGACATTCCATGTGCCTATAAAAAAAATCGTCGCTCTGGTTGTAAGAAGGTGCATCGGCCTCATGACTTCCGAATGACCTCGGCTTTCATCATGAGACGT